ATACATAGATAGATACATAGATACATAGATAGATACATAGATACATAGATACATAGATAATAGATATTCACACTAAATGAAGAAAGAATACGAAACTAAAAAAACTTTATTTAAAAACAAACAATTATACAAATTATAAACCAAATTTACTCAAAGGCAAAGATTTTATTGAATATAATTATGGTTGCAGCTGATTTTATCAGTTCTTGGTTTGAAGCAGTTAAAAAAGGAAACATGTAAAAGATTTACAAAGTGTCACTTGTCACTGTTAAGTCGTGTGTAAAGACCAGCAGAGCTGCAGAGGGATTCTTTGCTCTGAATGTAAGAAAAGTCTCGGATCATTCCCGGGAAGGACTCCAGCGGAGGGCGCAGGGTCAGCAGAGGCACCAGTCCTGACGTCATGTAAGGGGGCATGAAGCCGCCGCTCCCCGGAGCCAGCCGCAGGGGGCTCACACCCAGCCGGGGGCCGATCCCGAACAGGCTGTCTCCACCTGGGGCCGGGGGCCCGTGGAGCGGGGAGAAGGCAGACTTGCTGGCCCCCAGAGCTCCGAGCGCTCCGGGCAGAGCCAAAGAGGGCCGGAGGAGACCCGATGGAGACGCGCTGCCAGGGTCCATTTGATTCTCCTTGGAGCTCAGGACCAGCTCGATGGACTTCACGATGTCCCCTCTGCAGGTCCTCACCATGGACTCCAGGGTGTCCCGCCTCTGGTGAGGGAAGATCTTGGCCATGATGTCGGTGGGATCCCGGTCCGGGTTCGGGCTCGGACTCGGGCAGTCCTTAGGTTTCTCTGACTCACTCCCAGACTCCAGATCCGAGGAGGAGGGTGACCTGTGCGGGCTTTGCGGGCTGTGCGTGTGCTCTGAGAGCCGGTCGCAGGGCAGTGATGGACTCCCACGCTCACTGGGCAGAGAGGCCGTGCTGGTTTTGCTTGGAGACATGTCCTTCTTGTCGCTCGGAGAGGACTCTCTGGCACTGGGGGACACGAAGAGGGGCTGACCCACAAATCCGTTGTAGAAGCTGAATTTGCTCACTTTGTCATCTGAGGCGTGGATAAAAGAAGAAAAACAAACAAAGTGGTTTTAGCAACTTAGTTGTGCGTAAAACAGGTTTTACGCACGGCCATGCGTAAAAGTTTTTTTTAAGCACGAGGCGTCACAGTGAATAATATTTCGAATAATTTTAAACGTAAACAGGTTTTTAAGATGGTTTTAGATATTTATCTGCAAAATATTTCACGCCAGCTTACCCTCTTTGTAGCTCTGAGTTCCGAAGACGTCAAAACACGGAGCTGTTGGAGAGTTGGCCGCAGCGGACCCGTGACTCCCCGAGCCGGGGTACAGGAGCCGGAGCTCGCGCGCCTCGCTCTCCTCCTGGGCCTGCTGCCTCCTCAGCGCCACCTGCGCCGCCATCACGCGCTGCCTCTCGGCGATGAGCGTGCACTTGGCGCACACGCAGTCCCTCCAGCGGCAGAAGCGCTTGTGGCCCTTGAGCGCCGACACCACGCCGTGGTTCCTGCACCGGGCGCACTTCGGGGTGCGCGGGTAGCCCCGCTCCAGCGCCGGGTTGCAGGCCCGCAGGAAGAGGGGCGGGTGGCGCAGCAGGGAAGGGGACATGGGCAAAGTCCCGAGCGGGTTGGAGGGCTGCGCGGCCATGGCGAGCGGTCTGATCCTGCTCTCCATCTGGGCTGAAAGGAACTTCTAAAAAAAAAAAAAAGTTTTGGAACGGTCCAGCTCGGGTAAAGTGTTRCTGATTTGGCCCTCTCTCTGCGTTCTGCGCTGGCACTCTGAACCTGCTCCTTAAAAGTGTCGCCTTACCAGGTGGTTGGACGCGAAACTCAACACCCGTCGTCACACCCCTTTCCGCTCAGGACTCTAAGACCCTATCATGTTTATTTGCATCCCGGGTGAGTGAGGGTCTAATCTGACGCAACTGAGCAGGCAGGGAAACTTTGGGCTTGTCAAAACCTGAATTTATTGTCCTTATTACACTCCAAAACGTGCCACTGTCAGATTTAATCAGATTTGTGTTAAACTTTTTTTTGTTACTTCAGTAGAAAATGAAACCAAATATTAGTTTATTTAGTTTAATTATTTCTTCATGATCAGTGACTTTTTTTAAGTGAAGAGAAAATATAGGCAGAGAGAAAAACAGAGAGAGAAGTAATTAGAAAGATAGAAAGACTGAAATAGAGATTAGGAGTATATTAAATATACACCAACAAAACACAGGACCACACACCCAACATCTGTCCGCTCACCTGAAA